TAAACAAAATACATAATTAAAAAAAATATTTTTCAAACAAACTAATTAAGTAAAAAAGAAAGAAAATTTGTAACATCCCATACAACTCGCGCCACAGCGTCGTATTACAAGCCTCTCCTTCTAACAGTATGTTTTGTCTCTTTTAAATTCATTCAACCCATTCATATGCTTTGTGACCTTTACAAATGAACTTTACGTTACGCTTTTATAGGTAAGGGTGTTCTAAAATTGTTTGTTTTCGAAAATTTAATAACTCTGTAAATATTGATGTTTAAAGAAATTAAATGTTTAATACAACTTTAAAAAGTTATCCCCTATATGTGTGTTTATTTATTGTCGCGATGGTAACGACACACTGTATATTCCTTTTATGGTTCGTGTCACGATCATTTACACACTCTTTTTTTTAACTTTTTTTTCGATTCCAGATCATTGCTTTCTTTATTTTTCCAGATCATAGCTTTGTTGATCCAAATTATTTTGTTTTTTTTCCCTTTTTTTTAAAGTTGTTTCTTTTGTGAAAAACACCACTTCATATTTTTTTATTATTAGGTCGGTAAGATCGAAAAATATGATGCATATTTCATTACTCAGTAATTTGTATCTAAATGTCATTTCCAAAATACACGATTTACAAAAAAAAAAAAAAACAAACCGGTCTTCCAGGTAGGTACTTCCAATTATACAGATAACTAGCTATTATTCCAAATGATTCTTTTTAAGACATTTATAGGTAAAATATACACATTACAATTTATACTAAACACATTTCCTACTAGAAAAAAAAAATATTTAAATAATATTTATAAGTGGATTTTTGAGAAACATTACATATTTAAAGAACTTTAAATATAAGAATCTCCAAATATCGCTGAATAGAAATGTTACGATTATAATGATTAAATAAAGAATTTTTAATAATTACCGGCAAGTATTATCATCGTATTATAATTATCGACCGTAATGGTATGTTTTATTCTCTGACAACTTTTTTTATAAAATCATATAAAATCTCTTGGAGTTATATTAAATGATTTTATAAAAAAAGTTCTATTGCTAAAAATACAATAAAAACAAAGTAGATTACATGTCGAGATTTTCGGCGCGGTGAGGATAATCGACACTATAATCGATAAAACACTGAGAATTGTGTTTGAATTCTGGGTAGTAGTTATACCGCTCACATGGGCGCGTGGATATTTTATACACACGTAGAGTATCTATCACGCAAGTTAAAATTTGCTTCTCAAATAAAGTGTATATTAAAAGCTGAGATGAAATGTTGTTCTACAATAATGAAGATTGAAGGCAGAAGAATTAATTAGAATATTAGGCTAAGAATAATACGGAAACAGATTCTCTTAATAATGTAACCACAATACATCAGACTCGTCACTCTTTGAGACCACGGTACAGGGTTAATCTGATCCTTGCGAAACAGACAACAGGATCTGCACACAAAATTATCTTCTGTACAGGAGGAATCAATAATTTGAACAGTCTTTTCTGTATTTTTAAAATGGCAACTGGAAAGATGCCATAAAATTATAGAATTGTTCGCAGCTCTATCGACTGTTTCGTTTCCTCTTAACCCTGTGTGTGATTTTATCCAGCCGCACTTAATTATTTTCTCTTGGGAATTTGCGATGATTATTGATTTTTGTATTTGTGTTGTGAGGCTGTTTTTGTTATTTCGATTGCAGTTACTGTGGTTAATAAGTTTACTCTGTAACCATGTGTCATTGTTGAACACTAACTTCGTAGTTCTCTCCTGAGTCTGTGGGTAGACTACCCGCAGACCTCTTCCGAAATAGCTGTCAAAGGGGCCTGTCTAACACCGTACTACATTTCACAGGTTTTTTAATAAAGAAAATTATTTCATCTAAAATAATTAAACCTTTAGAAGCACATGAAAAATAGGATAGTTACAGGTACCTAGTTTTTAAAACAGGAAAAATCACCAAGTCTTAGAGCAAATGGAATCAACACATCCAAACCAGTACATGAAAAATCAACACTTAAAAAATTATTCAACAAATGTAACCAACAGTAATAAAAAACTCATATGTATATGCATGACTAATATTAAGTTATAGGATTTTTATATTATGCCATCTGACCGCTTAAAAAGGAACCTCTAGCAAAGATGGAAAACCATAATATATTCCAATTTTCTTTTTTATTTTCTCGGTTACGGAATTGATCGTCAGAGGGCAGTATTATAAAAAATTGTCATTCAGGTCTAGCGCTATTTTTAAACATAAAGTATAATTGTTACGAGATCCCAATAAAAAAACATTTAATTTCCTCGTTTATTACCAAATACTTCAATTTTGAGTTAGGAAAGATCTTTTGTAATATGAAAATAAACATTACATGGGATATAATTTGATACTGCAATATTGCAGTACTGCAAAAACTGCAATACTCTAGGAAATCATATATTCGTTCTGTGACTATGAATAATACCAAACAAAATATTAAATGTATGAAATTATGAATTAATAGCCGGAAAACCAAATGAGCACAGCCAAGTTTTTCCCAAGCTAGGTTAAAGTACTAATGGTGAAATTAAACTATTTTATGGTATATTGTATGTTACACACTTTATGGCATCATTTTTTTATTTGAAACAAGCGATTACTTGTGACTGTAAATAATTTACTTATTATATATTTAAAACATAAACAAACGTACGTAATTTAATAAGTATCTTTCTCCACTAACTTATAAATACATTATATGTACCCAAGGGCGGATCCAGCTTTGGTGCCAGGGGGGGGTCACGTAGTCGTCAAGTAATAAGAAGTTATAATTTAATTTTTACAATCATTGATACAAGTAAAAAGTAGGTACTTATTTTTAACCGACTTCAAAAAGAAGGAGGTTATCAATTCGGTTGCTTATATTTTTTATGTAGGTATGTTCGGGCATACCTTCGTTACTGTTCGTAACATTTCGTTGCTTTTTATCTTATATTATACAGGGTGGCTTTAATAAAGGTGCCCAAATTCACACAGGAGGTTCAGACTCGGTAGTATAATCGTTTATTGAAATAAAAACAAACTTAAAAAAAAAATTGCATTCTGTTCCCTAAAAACAACAACAAACTTGTTGACAATGCGGTAGTCATACATAAATGCGTCGTATACTTTTGAAACGAACTGATGTGCGTGTTAGTTATGAATGATCGCGCGTAAAATAAATGAGTTGCCCATAAATCACGCACTTTCTGAGATAAGTTCAAATGAATGTAATTAATTAATTACGAGTGATTTTAAATAATTTATAATTTTTTATATAACTTTATTTATGTTTAGTATTTAATAAAAAAAAATGGATACACTTAGAAAAGCCACCCTGTATAGTATTTTTTTAAGTAGCTATTGGTAGGCTTACTTATTTTTGGAATTTCTTTTATTTATTTATTATGTATTATATATTATAATATTTTCTATTCCTCTACTCCGCAAGCTGGCTCCACTTCAATGACAAGTAGCCTAAGACGGGCTATCGGGACACGGGTTAATAATAATATATAATCAACCCAAATGAAAACTCTTAAAATAGCCGTACACCAAATAAAATTACATCCTCCACATAAAAAAATGTCATAAATACCAAAAAACTATTATTCAGTCATTTATTCATTCATTCATTCATAATATTCAGCGCTTCTAATCCATCTAATCAGAGGCAGAATCCACCACATTCATAACAAACGGAACGAACAAACTTTATTTCCCAAAGATGGTCTCGCATACTCACGTCCACTAAACCACCATATCTCACCACCCATCAAAACGGTCCACCCATTAAGACGAATCATACTCGACGCAGTTGTGTTCCTTAATTACTGAGTTCCTACGGCCACATTCCAGCTCGCGTTTCGTCTGGTGAGTGAGGTAGCCGGAGCCCAATTTTCAAAAGGTTGTCAACGCATCTGTAACCCTCGGGTGTAGCAGGTGCCCATGGGCGGCGGTATTCACTTAACATCAGGTGAACCATCTGCTCGTTTGGCAACTTTCGCATAAAAAAAACCCTATGCATATGTCCATGGACAGCTGAAGATGTAGCTCCATCATCAGATCCTGGTTACCAATGAAAGTCAAAATACTCGTCAATACGATTCAAATTTACCCAAACGCGATGAGGCTCTGTCGTTTCATTTCGAATTTTCTTTAGCGTGCTTCCAGCTCCATCACCAGATTACCACCATGTCATAAAAGTATTGCATTGTCTCGCGACTTACACATGTATACAAAATTTCAGCTCAACCGGTAACCGGGAAGTAAATCAAGTTTAATTTGCAAGATTTGATTTGATGATTTAACATTAAAATATTGTAAAAATGTTCATAAAATGAAAAGTACTTGGCCAAACTATGGTAAATTTTGATGAGACCAAATGGCAACTATTCTGCATCAAACTATAAAGAAGAATCACGTAAATCGGATCATAAATCTCAACGTAATCGGTGTACATACATTGAAAAAAAATATACCAATCGAATTGAGAAATTCCTCCTTTTGAAGTCGGTTAAAAATATTATATTAATTTAATTAAATATTGAAGGTACTATATACATAAAATCTATACTGTGGGAAAAAATATATAAAAACATTATATTTAACAATTTTAATTAGTTGTCTACCTAGGTCGTGGACCCAGCCCAGGGGGGGGTCATGACCCCCATGACCCCCCCCCCCTGGATCCGCCCTTGTATGTACCTACATACATATACTTAGAAGTTCATATCATCATAACACATTAATAAGTATAGAAGCATATAAAAGTAGAGACATTGTTATGGACTGAATAGGATTGACCTTTTAATACCAAGGACCCAGGGCGCATGCGCTTGCTTCATTTCTATTCATACCGTCCCCTAACTTACGTAACTTGCGAATGTCTTCGTCAATTATATAATGTGCAAGATGTATATGTCATCGTATACGAATAAATAAAATGGAATGAAAGCTTTTTAACAAAAGGTCAGCATGAGTTTGCAAAAGTCCGGTTATCACATTATTCTCCTTGTAACCGGTTGCGATGAAGATAAAAATAAAAAAAAACACCTGAAGGTACAGCTGTCCATTCTGTATTTGAAATGCAAAGGTGTCTCAGCACCAACGGAAAGTAAAAGCTGTTATGAATTAACGTCAAATGTAAGGAACTGTATACGAAAGTGTAATTGCGCAGTTCGGCGGGCGATGGCGCACAGGCGCGGGAAATCGGCGCGTCGTCGTCCCACCCGTTATGCATAGCACATTCTCCTCGAAATATTTCCCGAAAACGTTTGTTTTGACGTGTCGCGTTGAACGTGTTGATTACACTGTCCTAACCGCTACTTTAAAAAGGTAACGAAATGTATTATTTCTTATTACGAGTGAAATATAAGTATATTTCTTGGCGTCAATAAGCAGTTATCTAATCAAAAATTATTTTACTACATAACTTGTTATATGTTGTCAATCCACCTTTCAAATTTCCAATATTCTTTTTTCATTTAAATGATGAATTAAGACCTCCGATAATAGAATTTTTAAAAAATAACTATATTACCGGTTAAATTATCCGTATAACACAACATACGTTGGTTTTGTGGGATATAGAAGGATTGAGGTCAGCACCCGGTATTCGGTCGATGGTTTGCGCGTGTTCTAAATTTTTATTACTGAATTGTTTATAATTTTGCTGTTGGAATATTACCAGGCTTCTTACGAAATAAATTTAATAAATCTATTTTAACCACACTGTTTTATTAGTTTGTACGAGTATTGTGATATACCGTTGTCAGCAAATCTTCCTAAAATAATTACAACATAATAATATGCACAATGCTATACAATTAATTTTCATAAAATATGTTATTAACCTCGTTAAATAATGTAATAACAGTAATACAAAACATAGATATAAACAAAGTAATGTAATACTTAAAATAAAATATAATAGATAAAATAACACTACTTATTGGCCTAATAGTTAAAATATTTTCGCTTTCGATATCGATAACAACGAACTAATCTTATCGACTAAATATATGTTGTAATAGCATTAGTCACAATACAATAATACAATAACCTGGTTCATTGTTTTGGCGTTTGTCACTATGGACGACCGCGTCAACCCGATTTTCTAAATAATAAATTTTGTTCGTTCTGACATCACGGCGAGTCGGTTAAGCCTGATATAAGCATTTATATTTTATGGTCACTGCTAAGCATTCTTTTTAAACTTCGGGCAAAGTGAGTAGAAGTGCTGTGACGCGCGGACGTACGTACGGTGCTGAAAATAGGTCAACTGACTGTTTAACATCAAACATACTGAAATCGCAATAAAAATTGTCAATACAGTACACTGTATCTATACAGTCACGTGAGTAATCGTATTACCCTATTTATTGAATACTAAATATTGTATAAGTTTACTTCAAGGCAAAGTTTACAAATTAGCAAAAAAGTTTTATTTTGTACATAATTATAATCTTTCATAGTGTAATATAATGATGAATTTATATTTAACTTGGATTTTTAAATTGATAATATAATACACATATGACATACGCACTATAGGTATCGTAAAGGAAACATATTTTCCGTGGGAACAAATTTATTTTAAATTAAAATAAAATTCTTACTCGTGCACTTAAAGGTACTTATATATTGCTCTGTATAAAAGTTTGGCATTTATATTATGATTTAATATTTAATTATTAAATCTACAAAAATTATGTACTTATTTTTACTGTTTTGCTGAATTTTAATAATGCGATGCAGTTTTGGGGCGCAATATTAATAATTAACTTTTAAAAAAGCCATATAGTTCATTGTGCCCTCGTTTCCTATTTTCCGCAATGTTACGCGATAGAGCATCTGACGAAAGTCAAAGTAGGTCAAAGATCTGCCGCCCACCAACGACCACCGTACTGGGTCGTCGACTTGTAAAAACGCGATTATGCATATATTATGAAATGCCTTATCTAAATTCAATAACGGTAAGCCGGTGACAATGTTCCTCAGGTTGTGTCTGTGAATGGCATGACGGAGTAAATATTATGTAAGTAGTCTTAACGTCCACACTTTTTTTTTGTAATTTAGGTAAAATTATAGCAGGAACTGTAAATTGCATTTTGTGTTGCGAATGATCGTTGAAATTAATGCATTATTGTTTTTACATTACTTAGACTGAAAAAACCTTTTATAATTATAAATGTAAACATTTTTTAATTAATCATTAAGTACCTTGTTGACATAAATGACATAACGTCAACAATCCAGTGTTGGAATAATGTATGAGTTTTCGCTTACATTGTATTACATTAACGCTTAAATCGTCCTTTTACGGTTGTCGGCACATAGAAAAAACAAATGTAACCTGGTACATCCGGTATATTCTTTTGTGTCGACAAGGTAAGCATTACATTGACAAAGAACTTGTCTAGTATTACGGTTATACTGAAGTTTGAAACCAAAGAGAATGTAATCACTACGTTTAAGAGACGGGACTCCCATACTAGCCAAAAATATCAGTTTACGCGGCACTCCAATACCAACCATACCACAAAAATACCACAAAGATGTCAAACAACAAGAGTACCAACGTAACGAGCCAAATAGTGCTTAACCAAGCTAGCTTAGCTTCTTATCGATATCGATAAAAGATACTAGGTAGAAATCGAGGTTTCAACTTAATATTTTTTTATTAATTTTAGTAGGTAAGCATCGAGTCCGTATTTATGTCCAATGTTGATAAGGGGATATTTGGTAGAAGATTGGTCTTTAATACGGACCAGAAATAAGATAAAAAACGGTTTCTGTCAATTAAAATAAAATTTTATTACTGAAATGAAATTTGTTTCTTGTTTCTTCAGCCAACAGCTGTTGTCCTGCTGTACACGAGTCTGGAAATAATTGAAATATAAAAATAGAATCAAAATCCAAAAATTATTTTAGTTTTCTTGCATACTCAGCGCACGAAATTAATTATATGACGTATCAATATTACAGAGATTATGTTTCAAAACCCTGCAAAATTCACCTATTCCGATCCTTGGCCATTTATGTAGGCACACCATTCAAATATGTGTAAACTTTGTGCCCCTACTATTTCACGCAACATTTTATTTCTTATTTTTTTTATATACATCTTATTTTATAAACATTAACATAGTTATCGATATGTGGATATTACAGTTGCAGTACATCACTAGCACACAATTTAAATGAGATACATTTGTTAATTTTTTTTGTTCTTAGTCTGCTCTACTTACATATGGCTGCAAAGTATTATATTTAAGTGCTTATATGGGCTTCATCTAAGGGAAATCTCGCCATAAACATCCTTTTTTCAAGATTCGAATGACTTGCTCGATTTTCACCAATTTCATAGGTCACCGTCTTTTTGGCATTTTGAATTAAAATTACAACTCTGATCACCTGTCATTAGTTTTCGTGAGAAAGTTTACTCTAGACAATTTAAATATACAATGAAATAAGCATTTACATTCAAAATACGCGGTGCGAAATTAAGTTTTGACAAACAACATGGCACTTCTTGTATTGCAAGAAAGAGAAACCGCATTGAGGGAGAGTGATAGCAATGTCCGCCATTATTTGCCGCGTAAAGTCCATAGAAAAATTTTTTGTTCCTAGTTGCGCCAGACTGTTTGAAACCGATATGGAAAATTACTCCTTCACTATTATTATTATTATAATATCTTTAAACGAGTAATTCTTGTATATATAATCTGAATCTCGGAAACGGCTCCAACGACTTTTGTAAAATATAGCATGCTGGTTTCGGGGGCGATAAACTGATCTAGCTAGGTTTCATTTTTAGAAAGCGTAGTTTTATCCATGTTTTCAGGCTATGAAAAACTGCTGCAATATCATTAAAATACGAAGGTAAATTTCTCCACCAATTACCACAAAGTAATAGCTCAGGTGGGAAATCGGCCGGTCCCGTAGCCAGAAGACCCCGGTTCGAGTCCAGATGATCTTGTTTTTTATTTTATCCCTTTTTTCCATGTTCCTTCTCTCGTGAGAACAAAAAATAGAGCAAAGCTCTGTCATCCAAGTACTACAATGTTTTAGTATCAGGCCAGTCGTTATGTGTAATAGATACTCGCAAAGCCTCATTTATAAAACCTCAAGCAAATAGTTTTAATAGTCACTGGCTCCCAATTCTAGTGTTTGTTTCATGCATATGTGTTTTGATATTAAATTGTGGTACCACGAACATCCGGTTTCAAAATGGCTGATTTGACAAATGATTACGCAATCTGGGTCACGGCCGGCGGGCTGCGCTGTGTTCGCCTTTTATGATGTTTTCAATTGATCAATCTATTGACTTCGATTACTATGATTGTCTTTAATATCTTTAACCAGCCGGACCTACCTTTATGCCTCTCATTACTATATATGAACTAACATTCTTATATATGAACTCAACCCAAAAATATCAAGTATTGAATAAGTGAATAATAAGTTAGATGGAACTTGATATTTCAAGTTGAGTGTTGAACAAAATTTGTGTAATAATGGTTAAATATTTTTGTTTTTAGAATGACGTCACCGGCATTGAAAAAGTCACCGGAACATCAGAAGATTAGCAATAAGTCGCCTACTCGTTCGACAACAGAGCGGCCGCAGCCGACGGAGCCTGTAGCTTCAACTTCAGCCTCAACGTCTGAACAGCCCGAAGCATTCAGCTTTCTACGAATCTTCAAACTCGCCGATCTAATGATGAAACAAGGCTGTTAAAAAGCAAGGATTGCCACGATGAAATTTCTAAAAACGAATATACGCCGCATATTGAAATACTTATAGAAGCGCCTTAGGCGCTGACTACTTCATGTGATGCCAGCCATGTGATGTTGAAAGGTCTTACTTACCTATCGGAGTGATAGATACCGATAGATTATTACGGAGTTCGATTCATATCAATTATCAAGCAATAAATACAAATACATTAGTACTTTTAAACAAGCAGGAGATATAGTAAATACGTAACGATAAAATCTTAAACTTACTATTTTGTTTTGATGTAGAAATCTTCATAGCCACTCAAATGGAGTCAAAGCATAACTCCAACATAGTCATTTTTAAAAGAGTTGTAGTCTAGAGGTAAGGTTTAAATTGGATAGCATTAGAGGCGGTGTGTACCATGTTTTAATGTAGCCAAAAAGAAAATTATGATGAAATTATGGTCTTACGATGTAAGATTTTTAATATGGGTCAATTGTCTTTTATTTAAAAGCATTTAACATAATATATTTAAGTGTTTGTTTCACATTAAGTTAAGTTATGAAGCATTCAGTTTTCTACGAATTAATGTGTACCTATAAGGTTCTCTAACAGTTATTTAATTACACATTTAGTTTTTTTTTTTAATTATGAATATAATCTTATGATTAAGGAAGCTGGTTTAAATTTATGTTAGGAGGAGCAAATTAAATGGAATACTAAACATATTCAATTCTTTAAAATCCCTTTTAGTCCTTTATTTTTTCAGCTAGCATCCAAAGTTTATTAAATAGTACCTGGAGGACCTTTGCTCGGTTGTTTTTTTTTGTAAATTATGTATTTTGGAAATAAAAAAAATAAAAAATAAAGAAAATGATCTGGTATAGAAAAAAAAGTAAAAAAAATAAGTGTGTAAATGATCGTGATACGAACCACGGCTGTATGTTTTGGGGCCGCCCGATTACCGACCGAGCTATTATAACATTTTATTTTGCGGCGAAATTTACTGTCATATTCGAATGATATTTTTCATTCCCTGAAAACAGGGATAAAAGGACAAAAAGTTCAAAAAAATATTTAATAAATTGTTATGCGAAAAAAAGAACCAATGGTCTCCGTGGATGTATTATCAACAATCCAGCGGTACCATCTATAAATGATGTTCAACTTACAATCCTACAGCTCACTACACATCTTCATACATACTCAAGTAACTAAAATACCGAAACTCAGAAATAAGCACACATTTTCATCATTATAAGACATTGTTGGTCCACATCTAGAAATAGACCTCTCCTAGTTAACGCTATACTTGCCAGTTTTGAATTTTTTTTAGTATCTCGGGCAAATCCTCAAAAATATCCTGTCATCCAACAAAAGACAAATTTATATGGGGCTCCTACCCATTAAAACCCACAGTGGCAACCTTCTGTACGTTTGGACGGATCTCCAACAGAATGCATCGCTATCTCTCGGTACTGCACGCCTCGGAGATTGAAAAACCTTTCCCCGATTTCCCCACAATCTTGCGATAACATGAGTTCTATTCGTACTGATGCTAGTCCGTGAACCCATTATAGGGGACACTAAGTCGCCTTTTACGACAGGCAAAGAATACCTTAGTCCTATTCTATGATTGACGACCCGAATGGCGTTGTGGGAAGTGTATCTGCCTCCTGCGCTAGAGGGTGTGGATTCGATCCCCACTACTGGAAAAATATTGTGTGATGAACAGTGTTTTTCTAGTGTCTGGGTGTTTATATATGTATAATGTGTATATATTTACAAAAAGAAAAGTATATTTAAGTATGTTTATCAGTTATCTAGTACGCTGTGTAAAACGGTGACCTAAATATTTAAAAAAAAATAAGATTACCGGGCCGACGGAGCGGAATGTCTGTTTCAGCCATCACCCGATCTCGCTCGATGATCTCTTTGTGGACCATGAAATTTTCGCAGAAGGAGACCAGCTTCATCCAAGTTGATTTCTCTGCCAGCGCAACCACCACTGCGACTGTGATACTCTGGACCAGAATCCGAGTACCGATCCCCTCCACAGTGGTTCGTTCGCATCGTCGTTAGTTCGCATTCAATCCTATTTAGGTACTCCCAAAAGCACCCCGTGGGTGGTGAGTATCTGCTTCTGCGTCGACCAAAAGTTGACGTGGGCACAACCCGTCGCACTTACGATAGGCCTAGGTAAACATACTCGTCAACAACACAGTGCTCTCAAAGACAACCGGTATAGTATAGGCGTGACATGGACATTAGACATGATCTTCGTCTTGTCCATGTTCATCTGAAGAGTTCACCCGTTGGAAGACTGTTGAGGTTATTGAGCATAGTACCAAGGCAAATGAAGGTGAGTATTTACCATTGATCTTAATAAATGTCCAGTATCTTCATCAACATCTTCCAATGCAGCGGTAAAGAGTTTCTGAGATATACATCAGCCTTTCTTAACCCCTTGCAATTGGACAGGTTTTGTTCTACTGGACTGTACATGGACGGATGTTATACAAACACCTCAGAACCTCGATATACAGACAGTCGATTTGGCACCGTTGAAGACCTTGTAGTACCGCCCGAATTTCGACAGAATCGAAGGCTTTCTCATAGATCACATACGCTAGACAGAAATGCAGATTATACTTGGTCTCTGTATAATTAGCCGCAGTGTGTATGTTGTCTATGGTACTGAAGTCTTCGGAATCCCGACTTGTTCGGGAGGCCAGAAGTCGTCGTCTTTAAACGAGACGATTCAAAGAACGATAAAAAACAGCACAGAGACGTTCCCTATAATTTACTGTTTTGTTTTGTTTAGTGAATTTACTACTGGCCATCACCATACCGTATCAAGTATAGGTATGTGTTTTATCAAAGCTAGGAATAAAACCTTTTTGAAAAGTGATCACAAACATCTTTTACACCTATACTTTTTTACTTCATGAATTTGAATACATTGTTTATTCTAATGGCGAAGTTTATTCATATAAACCAATAATAATTAGTTTTGATAGAGTATTCCAAAATTATTCTAGAAGATTAATTCGTTATAAAAGTACTACTTACTGACAAACCGTGCAACTGCAGTGTTTTATCCTTCTACCTGTGTCAGTTTCAACTACTATATTAATGTAATAGAGGAAAAATTTTGTTTCATTATAATTATGAGTAATTTGTAGTTTCATAAAATATATTATAATTTTGGAAGTAAGAATTCTAAACAACCAAAGAAATGTGTATGTATTATGTCTTTGCAACACTTACATGATAATTTGTGAATTAATTCTTTGAACCACTCTCCATGTTCCCAAGAATAAACCAAAGCATTATTTTCACAGCAAGTATATCATCACTGAATATTCATTAAAAAATAAGTAAAATATATTTTAGTGTTTATAGAAAAGAAATAGGGATAACAAATAAGAACACTTTTGTGTAATGTTTTTTTTAATAGTATTGGTAGGTAGGAGGTACATAACACGCAGGAGTCTGGGTTTTTTTTGGATAAGGGAAGTAAAGATACAATACTATTTTCAATATGTACAAAATATACAATTACATCTAATCCTAGCATTTTAAACTTATAGTAGAAATATGATCACAATATTTTTATATACTTACGCTCTGCTACAACTAAAATCAATGAAGTGGTGGCGTTGGGACGCGGCTGATGCGATATTACAGTCTAGCGCTCACTTTCACTTTTGCTGCACACTTGAGATCAAATGTTAATTTTACAAATATTTAAACTCTATCAACTCGCACACCGGCATCAGCCGCCTCCTGTCAACTTACTCTCGTATGTCGTTCTGTCCACAAATTCGATTACAACTTGGGGATAGAGCGACATTGTCTATAATTAAACTTCGACTTTATGGTGTCCGTATCTAATAATGATCGAAGACACTCTAAAGTGGGGTATATTCTGTATTTCGGTTTCGAAAGTAGCTTTTAAACAAAACTATATTATACTTCTCACATCACTAACTAGATATAACTATCAAGTCTGCATTATATAAGTCTGCATATATACATATATTACGGCTTAACTCCGTTGACAGAAAAATCATTGTCAATTGCATGTATGATTAGTGACAAGATGGCCATAGATGAAAAATTTTATGAAAATATTTGAATGTGAGCAATAATTGACATTTGAAAGAGCATAATAATAATCGAATGTATATATTTATAAGACAATTAATAGCTCGTTATCGCAAAAAGACAATACTAGCCATAGCATAATACGACAAAAAGGAAATTGTCGTTTATTGTGTCATAAATAAGAACATTCGACGTCACAAAATAATAAATGATATCATTACGTGCCTGCGATAAATATATTTTATACAATTTGTTACTTTGCACGTGTTCTACAATTTGTTACTTTTGCACGTGTTCTACCTCGTACTTTTTCGCGTCTAAATACTGAAATTCTATGATCTGTTTAGGTTTATTTACACCATGTTCCTTTATAAGGAATTCAAATAAGAATAAATATAGAGTTTACATTTGGGCATCCATATCCATTTTAGTAGTAAAATTATGTTAAAATTAATGGACGAAGTAACGAGTTCGTTAGTGCTCTTCCTAGCTAAGTCGAGAACTGTTTGCGACGGAAACATGACAAACAATATCATATTCATACACCTATAGATTAAATCCTAAAAAGAATATACATAATGCTTTACCTGTGCTGTTATTTTCTATATCGTACATATAAAATTACAATACATAAAATATTTTGTACTTTGTTTCACGTACGGCACATTCGCCGCACAGTTATCTAACTATACAATGCGAGATGCTGATGAATAGAATCGCACGGGAGTTAGATTAGCCTATTGTTAATGCGCTAAGAACGAATAGGTTTGCGCGAGTTAGTTGATAATGATGCAGACAGTTGCAGACAACCTTATGAGAAGTACAATATTGTTAGTTTATGCATTTCTATACAGTTATAATGAAAGTACAATGACATTAATTAAATAAAACAATTAGTGAGTGGGTACGAGTTTTCACTGTGGAAAAGTTTGGCAAATAAAACAAGTAATGCGTTAGTGATAAATGAATACGTAGAAATTAATCAAAGCGGCGCCAACGGATTATTATAATAAGCCAAAATAAGAATAAAACAACAGCGGGGCGGTCTACGATTGGAATGAATTAAGCAGTTGGACACAGTATCGCAAATTTAGATTTGGATATGACTATAATTGAGTTCCGAAAGAAATGTTATGTGTATCTACTATAAACTTTTTAAATTATTTAAAGATAACAAGGTTAAACATTATCCTGTTATTTAATTCTTCAATGTGTTATAAAGTGCCTATAAATTTATTTCAGCACTCGCATTACTTATTAACTGTGAAGTTTCAATACCGTGGAGAATTTTCATAAGTTTGCGGGTTGTCGACGCCGCCCGTGTCTCATTTTACACACTCATTTGCAATTCACACGCCGTAAGACTACCTACAAGCCTACTTTAAAAAGTCAGAATCACAGTTTATTTTCCACGTGTATTTTTCTTACTTAATAATCGTACCTTTTAACTATAGTATTCTTTACAATTTAACAGTTATCATTCGACCCAGTTATCATTGTCCATTACCTACCGTAATGACCTAATGTTATAAATCGACCTTTAGTTATGGATAGATTCAGTATTTACAAAATTTAAATTACTTTAGACTTAGAGGCTTAAAACAAAATAACAATTTACACTAACAATTAAAAATGCTCGACAGATTTGCCACTCATCTAATCGAAACCCAAAATTAAATATATTTTATTCATTAACTGACTGCTTTTACCGTACTTTTATAAATTTAAACTCCGAATAGCGCCGAACCCAGTCGACCATAACAAAAGTATTTTACAAAGCTATACCTTACGTCTAATGCTTAATTTAAGTGACGCGGCTCACACATTACCCCAAACTTTATACAAAGGCGCGAGTTAGCGTGCCTCGGCCAGCGCCAAACTACGCGATAACAATAAATATCCTAAACGTTACATCACTATACGAGCGGTCTGTTTTGTAGAGGTATTCCGACACAATTCCTAACGAACCAATCGATTTAGTATCAAACATTTCCACAGCGGCTGCTCGCCAGGTCGGTAAACTAACGTAAGAAATAAAACGAACTTTCACAACCTGGCCGTATTTACAATGCGTTATAAACGTAGTCGTCTAAAGTCTTTATGGGCGAACATTGAGTCAAATTCGAGTTTTCAGTGTTACAGTCCGTGGTTGTTGATTCTCGCGCATTTGTCAACGGGCCTCTGGGGCCGTTGGAGCGCTTCTGTCGGGCTTCGCTCGTGGCCGAGCTGCGTCGCAGTGCGGGCGGCGCCGGCCCGCCGCCCTCATACGGTGGCGATCACGATGAGCAGGTGCGCGATGTCGGCCACGCGGTGCATCAGGTCCGGTGCGATGCGGTTCAAGTTCTCGTTCGCGAAGTCACACGATGGGAAGATGTGTACTGTGTACACGGCCTGAATGGAACAAATCATTTTTTACTTTCCGGAACGACAGGAGCTCTACATCCTATACCAGAGAGTAGTCGCGTTGTTAAGGTTTGCTTAAAGAACCTAGTTATGTTAAGACCACCTTTTGCTACAGTTATAAAGAAAAAAACCCAACTCAAACTCAAAGGTTTGTCGAATCCATCAAAAGCTAGATTTAAGTTATTTTCTTCTAGCTCTAAGATTATGATTATAATATAAATAAGGAGTAGTAATATATATGACAATATTTGTCAATAAAGGGGTCACAGATCTGCAATATACGATGCCCCGTCGGGAGTACCCCAGGGATCCATATTAGGACCACTACTATTCAATAAGGCATTATGTACTGAGTTCAAAACTCAAAATATTATATTTTCGCAGACGATCTAAAACTTGCAAAAGAGCTAAATATATTGTGAATAATATCTTACTTCAGAATTTGGATTATGTGCGCGATTTGGGTATTTATTTATGGTGAATACAATTTTTTGTAATGTAGTTTCTGCAATATACATATCTTGCAGATTTACAAATATATTATAAATAAATAATATATTGATAATATTTGCAGATCTGCATGCAAGATGCTAGGTTTTGTGTTCCGGAACTCTAAACCATTTAAAAAAACTTGCAACTAAAAAGATTCTTTACACAAGCCTAGTTCGAAGCAAATTTGAGTATGGTACAGTCTTTGGAACCGAAGCTACCAAATATACAAATATCGAGTAGAGTATTATGAGTATGCAAAGAACATTCACACAAATCTTTTCTGGACCCAATAAAAGAATATCGTATACTAATCGACTCCAAACATTTATGTTAAACTTGCTCACAGACGGGACCATAGATAAACCAGAATTGTTGAGCTAGGTGTATTTTAAAACTCCCTCTCGTTTACCGCGGTATCTTTTTCAAGTGCTCCAGCCCAATTTAAACCGGACCCAACCCACCACTCCATTTTACCAATGTACATACCAAGGTACAGTGGAATATTACCAATAATATTCAAGGAAAGACAATTCCATCGTCTTTTTCACCGGTAATTTTAATACTTTTAAAATTAAAAAATGTATTAAAATTATGAACATAGCGGTGAAAGAGAGTTGACTTCGCTTTTTGAATAACAACATTAACATTAACTTGTTTCTTTATTTTTATTTTGTTCTTGTTTTTTGTAATACTTTACTTATTTTTTTATATTTGTGTTACGTTCTTTTGTCTTAGATTAGCCAAATACGATTATACCATGAGTACGACAAATACTCTTGTTGAATGATGTGACGAACTATCATTGAGTTTACGAGTAAATTGTTGCCACAAAATTTGTGTTTATTTAATTCTGTGAACATGTAATTTTGGTGGTAATCCAAAATAAATAAATGACAAAAGCAATCCTCTTTGGTCACTATGATGGTGTGTAGACGATCTTACTTGTTGGTGTCCTGGTGGAGCGACGTTGACGATTCCAGCAGCTTGTTTGCGCTGCAGGTAGGTGATAAAGCCGTTGGTGAGATTGTTGGACTGCTGTAGTACGTCCATGTGATCCCGGCCGCATGGCAGCGCCAATAAGATGCAATGCTCGCTCTCCAGCTGTTATATCGATGAGAAGTTTGTTTTTAGACAGAGTATTTAGATGCAATCAAAATATTCTCAATATATTTCTGTTAAGTGATTTTTATTTTACAGAAGCATTTCCAATGGCTACTTGAATTTTTAATTTACCAATGTGTGTTTTTCCATTTGATGAGCGTCCAGAAACCAACAGGAGTATTTGACATTTGATCAGTGTACTTTTTGAACTTGATACTAAACGCGCTTGCGTATAGCCATGACGTGGATTCGATTCGCACAGCGGCGAAAATCTTCTTGTCGTTTCATTGTACAAATTTTAATGTTTCATCTTAAGAGAAGAGATTAGGCACAATAAAAATTGAATGATTGCACACACCTTCATCTTGCGGTGCACCTGGTCGAGCTGGGCGGGTTCGAGGCGCATGCGCTGTGCGATGCGCAGCAGCGAGGTGCAGCCCTCCGTGAGCGTGTCGCCGGCCACCACCGGGTTGCCGCCCACGAAGTGCATCTGCACCGCCGCCGCGTCGTTCTTCAGCGCCAGCAGGCCCTGCCACAGCACCGGGTACCGCTGCAATGCACATGCAAACATAACATTAATCGCGCACAACACTCGTATTGTTTGTGAGCAAGTCCTAGTTAGGGGTCGGAAGCCGCGCAGCATTTTGCCTGTTGTATTAACTGGCCGGCTCCCCCGAGACTCCATACAGTCTCACTGAGACAGGATGTAAACTTATTTATACTATTGCATATCGTTTGTGTGAGTGAGGTAATCGGGGCGCAACTTCTTAAATGCTCTCAGCGCAAGCCATTTCTTAAGGTGCCTCCCCAACGTGAAGCTGTGGCGTGCACAGAGAATTCAGACAGGGACATTAAATTTTCTAAGCTTAAATCATATTTTAGGCTTAAATCATATGCTCAAATCATAGACTGTGAAATGTTAATTTTGTTTTAAACGTGGCTTTAGTGTTTTAGGGAGTTTGCACACGCATACGGAGGTTAGGTATCGGCACGTTGAAGTGTTCCTTGCGGCATGTATAACTCACCCTGAGCAGCATCTGCAGGGAGTCCGCCTCGCGCGGCACCTGCGAGGCGTGCGGCGGGCCGGGCGCGGCGGGCGGCGGCAGCGCGGCGGGCAGGCGCGCGCTGTGCGCCGGCGGCGGACGGCACACGGTCTCGCACACTGCGCCGCCACAATCATAAGCATATATACGCACTGGTATGCTTACTAATTATAATTAAACTATATTTATTGATTTCATCCCGTTTCATTTTAATTTAATTTCCTATCTATTTTCGGTGAGTTGTATTTAATGTATTAATATCACACAATGTATGTCAAAAAAAAATAGCTCGCTGAGTTTTTTTCGCCGTTTCTTTTTAGTTCAGTGGCTTTCTTTTCCGAACCGGTGGTAGAATTTTGACTATCAATAAGGGAGTGTAATATACATTATACTCATAAATTTGAGTGCTAAAAATCATTATCTCATGCCAATCATGATCGATCCGAATGAAACGTTTTTCCCCGATAACGAATTTACAATAGTACACAAGACAATGTTCTTTAAATTTCGAAAAGGTCGGAAAGGTATAGAAGGGGGCCGTACGAAGCAAGCGGTCCGCGGGCGCCGGCGAGTGCGTGGGTCGAGGCACGCGCGCCGACGGCGGCCGCCGCAGCTCCAGCGGCGGCGTCGGCGCCTCAGAGCCCTCCGCCTCTAGCGACCTGCAGAGGAGAACATACACTTCAACCTAGATCGTAACAAAACAATTTCAATTCAGACTATAAGGATATAGCTCTTTTAAAAAAAGTTTTTAAATAATTATGAAGTGTTCTGTTCACAACTCACCTGGTGTAGGGTGAAGGTGTGGCCCGACTTTCATGCTGAGTGGCACGGAAATGTTGTTGGTACATCTGATAGTGTTGGTGAGAAAAGTGAGGATACATTCCGTCGCCCTGTAGAGAAATATATGGGTTTACATCTTATTCGTCACATACATCATTTCTAGTAAGAACAAATGGAATTTAATTACTTTGTGGTATACCGAGGTAACGGGAGAAGTCTGTTGATGCGCGGGCGGAGGACTTCTCACTAATTCCGCAGACTATTCCGGATAGCGTGAACAAAATTACATTTTATGAAAGATTTTATTTATTTAGACATCAAATTTATGACTACTGCTTTAATTTGTGTTTACTAATAAACGTTTGAAATTATAACTCACCATAGGCATTTGGCCTTGGGGGCTGATTGATGGTACGCTGGTTATGGTAACGCGGGAAGCAGCTCCTAAATACAGAACAAAAATTATACTTTCAATTCCGTTAAAATTATTTCACTGGACATGAGAGATACCACAAAAATTATCAATTAAGTGTTTCAAAAAACATTCTTTTTATGCGTAGCATAAGTATTTTTTAAAAACAAGCATAATGGAGTTTTACAATGCTTTAAGTGTTTGAAGACTGAAAGAGAACGCTACTTATTAGTTAAACTCCTTGGAGGCTAATCACGTGATGTGGGGAAAGCGTTATATGTAGAATGAGCTCACCAGGGTGATGATGGTGATGATGGGGCCCAACAACGGCGATCTGCTTTGCGTGATGTGGGGGTGGCAAGTGCGCGCCGCGCGGCAAGCTTGCGGCGCCGGAGTAGGCCCGTATCCGCGACCCGCCGGCCGCCGCGGCGCCCACGCCCACTCCCACGCTTGCCCCGCCGCCCACACTGCTCACCGCGCCCACGCTCGATATACAACGCACGTCCGAATCGCTGTCTCCTCCCCTAAAATAATTAAAAAAAATCACATGAAATAGGTAAGGACGATATAAATAACATACATCCGAGAATTCTGATATTCATGAAAAATAAATTTTGTCAATCATATTATAGTTTGACCGTACAATAAATCTTAGCAATAGAATTTTTCGAGTAAATTACCTCACTACCACTGGCGTCGCTCGATCGGTGGGCCGATGTGTGGATGGTGGTCTATGCGGGAGCGCTGGCGATTGCACGCGCGCGTCGGTCGCTTCCGTGGCGCCCACGGGCATCATGTTGCCGGGCACGTTGTCGACGAGGCGGCGCACGAAGCTCGAGTCGCTGGGCTCGCCCGTGGCCGACACGAAGTCTTGGTTGCGCGGCTCGCGAGTCGGGATACCCTGCTTGTCGGCCTCCGCGGGCGCCCTGTCGGCCTGGTGCTGCGCAGCGCGCTCGGGCACGCCGGACACGCCGGGCACTCCCGCCACGCCCGGCACGCCGGCCACGCCGGGAACCCCCGGCACACCGGCCACATTCGGAGATGCCGCCCCCATGATCGTTGTGGCCGATGCGCTCGCCAGTTTCGCATTAATTTCCGATATCATCTTCTTAGGTGGTTTCATAATAGGCGTCGGAGTTGGCGGCGGCGGCGGTTGTGTGATGACAGGTGGTGTGTTAGTTTTTATAATTGGCGCGGGCTCCGGCTCACAAACCGGTTGGCAGACAACGGTTGATTCCACGGTTTTAGGTATTTTCGTGTCTCTTGCGCCGTCTTCTTTTTTAAGTTTTTCATCACAACTTTCCATTGACGCATCCGATAAACTTCTGTCCCTAGTTCTTTTGACGCCTCTGGGAGATTTTCTTGTATCGGCGTTTTGAGCTTTGTCAGCTTTCGGGCCGGCTTGCCTCGTTTGGCGTCTCTTATTACCTTCTTTAGTTTTAGTCTGCAAAGAAGAACCTTTTATGACATCATCAATTACATCGTCAACAGTAGTACGTTGGACGTCTTTTTCCTGCAATCTTCTTGATTTTCTCGTGTTCGGCGAAGGTGATGGAAAACTTTCTATTTTTTCGTCTTTAACTACTTTTTCGGTTTTACATTGATCTTTGGTAGTAATAGTAAGAGTGGACGACGCTATAATGTTAGATTGACCTGATAGTGGACTTTTTATAGTAAGAATTAGCCGTGGTCTTGTTTCAGTTTTGTTAGGCGAAGTAGTTGTTTCATCACCAGAGTCCTCGTGAAAGTCATAAACATCACCAGGCATATTGTTAACAGTATTATTGACCGAATTCTTTAGTTTCTTATCTGCCTTTGCTCGGCCTCTACCACGTTTGGCAGACCCAGTTCCCCTAGCGGGTTTCGAAATTTGCCTAGTTTGAACTCTTTCTTGTTTCCTTTCACCTCTTTTACCCCTGAAATTCCGGCCACCTCTTCTAGTAGCTGGCGTTCCTTTTTCTATGTTATGATCTTCCAATGTATTATGAATAACATATTCATCTTGTGTTTTCATAATCTTTGTGGGTTCAGTTTGGTAATTATTAGTAATAACGGGATATTTTAAAACTGATGTAGCTACTTCATTCATATTCATTTTGATATCACTCCTTTTCTCATTATAATCCACGCTATCATTACATAATGAGTCCACTTTTTTAATTACTGATTCTATGTTGATATCTTTCGCTGACCAATAATCATTTTCATCCAGACTTTTAGTTTTATTATCATTTTCCTTCGCATTTGGTAAAACACTAACGTAAGTAAAGGTATCTTCTTTAAAATTATTTAAATCTGTTTTATTGATTTTGTTTGCATCCATATTTGTATTATTTATTGTGTAACTATTAGTAGGTTCAGTTTTTTCAACCTTATCTATCACCGCAGGCTCTTTATCTTCTTTATTAACTGAATCGGACATATTTAATTCTTGATCATCATTTTGATTTCTATTACATTTATCGCTTTTGTCTTTTTCCATTACAACACTATGCAATACAGTCTCTTCAAGGGTCGATACTTTAGAGTTTTCCAATTTATCCACCACATTTACACTATTTCTTCTTTCTCTGCAGTGTGTTATTAACGTGATTGATTTTCCCACGTTAATTTCAAGTTTCTTTTCTGGATCATTAGTTACTTTAATTTCGTTTGTATTATCTTTAAGCAACTCCTCGAAATCTGTCTCACATTTAGTTATATTCCCGACTGATGTTGCTGGAGATTTCATTAACTGTTCTTTTTCATATCCACTTGTAATTGTAGGAACCGAATCCTTTTTATCAGTAACAATATTTTCTTTATCGTGTAAAATGTTATTAGTTATAGGTACCACAAATGTGCTTTCTAAATTATCGATATCGGGTTTTAAATTTATTCTAATAGGGGTTTTTGCTCTGGTGGAAGTTGTTAATAGTAAAGGTGTCATAACAACATTTGTCAGACAGGATGTGGTAGCAGCCACGCAACTTGTACCATCAGTCTTGGTTAAAACTGTAGTAGGTCGAATGGCAGCAACAGACAAAACTGATGTAGGAATTTTACATGAATCTAATTGTATCACATTACTTAATGCTGATGTAGTTAACATTCTTTGGGAATTAAGAGTATGTATCACATTAGATCCTTGACCCCTGTTTATTGCATTTGCTTCTTGAAGTGTGCACATAACTGGTTTTGATCCACTTTGAATGATTGATGCTGCAGAGTGGCTTACATTCGCTACATGTATAATCGGTTTAGTATTGAACGTAATATGACTATGCTCAGATTTCTGTGTTTGATTTTCTTGTTTATCGGTAATCTGATTTTTATTTATTAAAATCTTGTTTTGTAATTGCAATGTTGAACCTACATTTCCAACGTGCATAGCGTTTTGCATGGATATAAAACGATTCTGTGCCATAATCGTAGCATTAGTATTTGTTTGTAAGCGTGTTGGCGATAGAATTATTTTTGTATTTTCATTGAGGTTCTCCGCAACATTTCTTACTTCGTTTTTCCTAATCTCTCCTGTAATAATCTTCGGTTGCTGCATAACTGAGGAACTGCTCACAGTGATTGTTTTATTCTGCTGCAAAACGTTATTTACGTTAATTTGTTTTGAAATTGGCGTTAACACTGGAGCTACAGGTAAACGATTTAAATGAATAGGGGCTCCTTGCGTTTGAACTAACACCGAATTTGGTCTATTAGGCGAAACCATAGTCCTTGCACCTACAGGAATATGCATTGTTTGTATGGGGCTTAACGGTGGTTGTTGCATCCGTACTACAGTCACCTGTCCTGGAGACCTTTGATGTAATGCGTTTGGAGACCTTATTCCGACAGTGTTGAGATTTTGAGATGTGCTTAAAATAGCCATATTTGTTAGAGTGCGTGGAGAAGTGATGCCTTCTCCTTGAGGACTCGCTTTTGGACTAGTTAAACGAGGATCGCAGTTTGTTCTGGGTGATATAACAATACCTTGTTGTTTTTGATAAAGAATATGAGACTCAGGTATTTTTATAGTAGGTGGTTGCATATTTGCAACCTGAGGACGCATCATTTGATTAATAACTTGGTATGGTGCACTTACTCTAGTCGCATTTATGACTGGTCTTAACGAGTTATTTATCTGGTTGGTGGGCGCTTTAATCTGAACGATATTGGTTGAAATATGAGTTGGCTTAGTTTCATTAGTTTCTCTGCATGGTAATGGACTTGAGGGCCTATTTACCAAATGCGGGTCGATTAATTTATTATTAGTTAAAGTCCAAGATGTTATTACAGGTGTGGCAGTAGAAGTGGCCTGTTGCGCTGTGTCTCTTTTCGGCAAGGGAAATGCAATGTTAGATTCTTTGTTTTTCGTATCGCTATTTTCGGAACTGGTGTTATGCGCAACAACTGGCTTCGGCTTGGAAATAATAACATTGGTGGTTTCTTCAGATTTAGGAGGATTGTTGTCCTTAGAATTTTTAGTCAGTGATTGATTGGTTGCAATTATATTGACAGGTAATCGTTCAATAGAATCTTGAGTATTTTCTTCGGTTTCTTCTGTATCGGTATCGATCAATAAAAGGTCATTATCGGAAACTGGTGTATCCGGTTTCATTTCCATTTCACTGGCATTTAGATTCTGTACTGCTTGTCGCATCTCCTCTGCATCTTCCTCTGGTATGTTCTCATTTTCAATAGCAGTGCTTTCAATTTCAATTTCACGAACATTACTACTTTCGACTTCCTCGTAACAATTAGCGAATGTATTTTCTTTACCACCAAAACTTTCCCCTAATAATGCAGCTACAGCATCCTCGGTCTCTTCCTGTGAAATAATAGCTCTTGGTTTCTCCTCAAGTTTTTTATCAACTTTACACGAATGGGGATCAATTTTCTCAACAGATTTTTCAGTTTCTTTATCTAGATTTGATATGCTACGCACAGCATTTTCATTATCATCTATTTCAAAACTGGGCATAAAAGCTTCCTTTTTATTACTTTCAATATTAGGTGGGATAGGGTCCTTAGGCAACGGTACTTCACTGATATTTTGAATTGTATTGTTATATGGAGGCGGCATTGGTATATCGTTCACCTCTATAGTTTTTATATGTTGCACGTCATTTTCAGTTTGAACAATTAAAATTTTAGTAGAATCACACTCCTGTTTTTGATTATCACTCGATAGCAACAAAGTCGCAGTATCCGTTAACATAGGGAGACTAGGTGACTCTGAAAGAGAATTACAATCAACGGATTTGCCTAATGGATCCACTTTCTGTATCTCAGCAGGTAAAGGTATATCTTTAAGTAAAGTTTCTGATATCTCTTCAGTCCTTTCGAAAGTTATGAATTCTTCTAACTTAATAGCTTTATCATTATGGTGAAAATGGTGGTGATCTCGACGGCTTTGCCGGTCTTCCTTATTTTTCTTTTTCTTTTTGCGTTTCTCTCTGTCTCTGAATTCTTTCTTAAATTTATCATAGTGCCTTTCATTGGATTTCGAATAGTCTGTTTTAAAAGAGTTTTCATCGAATTTATGATCACTTAGTTCGGATGTAGCTTGACTACTAAACATTCCAGTTTTTGTACGATTTTCCTCGTGACTTGCGGCGTCCGCGAATAACCTGGCTTCAATGGCTTTGCTAACAGCATCTACATCCAAACTATTATCATCGTCCTTAAGTAAATATCTTCTATCTTTGCGTTTCCTATCTCTTTTTCTTTTATTATCATCTTTATCGAAAGTTTTTACGTCTTCTGAACTTAGGAACGCTTCTACTTTATCACCCGGTGTACTACATAAAGCAGAATCGAAATCTTGTGTATAGTCTAACTTATTATTGGAAGACTTACGAATGTCCCTTTCTTTATCAGACTCATCGGATAACGGTCCAAATATATCTTCCATTTTTCCATCTTTTTTAGTACTTGGGCACAATTCTTGCAGTAAATCGAAAGGGTGATTTGGCGATTTTTTCTCTTTTTTATGTTTACTCTTCTCATCTCTAATTTGAGCGTCATCGGTATCAACGCTCTCACGTATTTTATCCCTACGTTTTTCTTTTTTAGTGCTGTGGCGCCGTAACTTTTCTGAAGTTTTGTGCTTTATATCGCCTTCAAGCTCATTATTAATCTCCAATTTAATTTCTTCATCTGAATGTGACACCTTATGCCTCCTTTGCTTCTTTTTATGCTTCTTACGATTTTCTGAAGTATTACGGTTAGAGGTAAGTGATTCACTTTCAGAAGAAAGGTCATTGCAACCGGGTTTTATATAGTGCATTTTGTAATCCTCTTCAACTTCGCGAGATTTTAATTTATGATCATCAGAATCAGATTTGCCAAATAAATTCAGGAGAGATGTCTTTTTTATTTTATCCTCCCCAAGATGGCTATCCGTTTCCTTACCACCTTGCAAGGACTCTGAATCTGATAGCAATTCTTTCTTTATTTTATGGCTAAAGTCAGGACTTCTACAAATATTTCTTCTTGAACTATCATCATCTGATGTGTCAGACATAATACGAGATCTTGAATTTTTTCTTGATAATTTATTACGACAGTCATCTTCAGTAGTTGGTGCACTAAAGTAATCAATGGTTTTTATTTTATCGTAATCCAAACTAGATGCATGAGATTTTTCACGTTTCTTACTATGGAGAACAATTTGCTCATCGTCCGAAGAACTATCCATAGAGTTTTTGACTGATTTTCTTCTATCGGTTTCTGAATCACTATCTTCATCCCAACTTGATCTCTTCTTTTCTTCACGTTTAGCTCTACTTTGTTTTAACTGACTGAATTTAGCCTTAATTTTTTCTTGACGCTTTTCTTCTTCTTGTTTTTGCATATTCTTACACGATCGTGCTTTCACTTTATCATACATTGATATGTATGTTGGTTCATCATCAATAATATCAAAGATTGAATGTTTCTTAGGTTCATCAGAGTCAGAGCTATCTGTACTTTGAATAAGTTTACGATTCTTTCGCTTATTACAGTCATTTTTCTCGTCTTTACTCCTACGATCTGTTGACATACGTTTTTCACGGACCAAATCCTTTTTCTTTTCATCACTTTTGTGCTTTTTGTCTTCTTTCAGTTTATTTAATAATTCCGCTTGCTGTAACGCATCTTGTTGCATTTGTAATTCTTGTATTTGTTGCAACTGTTGTATACGTTTCTTTTCTTTCATTTCTTTTCTAAGAGCTTTTTGTTTTTCATCTTCTTCACTAGACCGTAATTCTAAAGTAGCCAGGAAATCCAAGTCATTCTGTAATGCATCTAACTGCCCTACCGAATTTTCAGCTATTTTATCTATATTATTTTCTTTCGGGCTTTTTCTGAGAATTTTATTTTTATCACTTATAGCTCCTGATATTTCTTTATTTTCACTCTCCTTACTTTCAATAAAACTATCATCAGGTGGTTTAACTTGACTTTTCTTGTCATCTTTAGTTTTACTTTCAATAATTTTTACAAAATGGCCTTTATTAAATTTTGTTGTCTTATGTCTGTCACTTCCCCGACAGTCTTTTGAATCTCTTCTTTCCGGACCTTTCACATCAATTTTGGACTTTTTTACGTCTTCACTCAGACATTCAAGACTATCTTGGGATGACAATCTTCGTTTATGACCAATATTAGGCGGTAAGCTCGAGCAAGAATTAAGACGCTCTTTACGCTTACAGTCGATACCAGACGAATCAAGAGAGTAATGTCTTTGTTTTTCACTTAAATCACTTTTACTTTTGGAACTTTGTTCCGTATTTGTATCGGATTTATTCTTTAAATGTGCATCAGAATAATCTTTTTCATCCTTTATCTCGTTTTTCAATTTTTGCTTACTGTCAGACTTTGAATCAATAATTTTTTGATGTAAATCCTTTTCAAGATCATGTTTTGTGATAAATTCATTACTTAATTTCACTTTTGGTTTACTTTCCTCCTTTCCTTCCAAGTTTTCTGAATCTTTATTTTTACAAGAATCATGAGAAGCCCTTGAAGTCGATGAGTCAGTGGAGTCTTTACGACATATATCTCTTGAAGTTTCTTCTCTTGACCTACCGCTTTTGGAGTCATGTTCTTTCCTTGAGTGATCTCGCTTGCTATCTAAACTATCCTTTTTAACTCTCTCTGTTTTGTGTTTCTCTTCCTTTTTTGATTTGTTTGAAGACTCATGACACTCTATCCCATCCCTCCTTTTGTCTCTATCGGCTTTCTCCTTTTTATGATTTTCATGACGTATTTTATCTTCGACGTGCTTTCTTTCACTATCCCGGTCAGGTTTTTCTGTTAAATCTTTTTCAATTTTAACTTTTTCTCCCCTGTCAGTATGAGATTTATGGCTGCTGGAATCGTCTCTGTTTCTTCGGTCTTTGTCATGTTTTTCTTTAGTATTTTTCTTTGACTTCTCTTTTTCTAAGTCATACTTATCCTTTTCGGAACGTTCTTTGTGTTTAGGCTTTAGTTGTTCACTATCGCTTTTTAAATTTTCGTCATGATGTTTGGCATCCATATGCTTTTTATCGGTAAGATTCGACGGAACAAATTTCGTCTTTTCCGCATGTTCTAGATCCATATTTTCTTTTTCAATTTTGTCGTTAAAAGTATCAGACATATTTAAGTCGGTTTTTTCCTTATGCTTTTCATTATTTTTATGTTCCTGCTTTATTTCAATTTTTTTCACAGTATCTAAATAATTAGCTGCATTTAAATGACTTGGTGTCTGAGTTTCATTCCCAATAATATTTTTGGCATCGAAGTTATGAAATAATTGAGCGCAGTGTGGGTCTAATTTATTGTCACAGTTTAGTTTTATTTTCGCGTGGTCATCTTTAGATGTTTCTGATTTCACGTTATGTCCACGATTAAATAAAAAGTCCTCTTCGGGTAATCTTCTACTTGTCGGTGTTTCACATTTAATAAAATCTTCTTTCTTTATTCCTTGTTTTATAATGTCTATTTCAACATGATTACTGTTTACCACTATGTCACTGAGAATTGATGTTTCAGTATGGTTAAAAATTCTTTCCGTTTTTATACTACTGAGCAATGTTGGAAGTTTCTCTTCACTTCTTTTTAAGCTTTCAATATGAAGGCCGTCCCTTGGTGATAAGCTCTTTTCTCGGTTTCGAATATCGGAATCGATTTTATCGAAACAATCTTTTACTACATCCGGTACGTATGTTTTAGAATCATCTTCTGTTCCAACAAAACCCGAATCATGTTTCCTGTTTCCTATTTCTCGTTTCAATTCTTTTTCTTGTTCTACTCTATTCCGTTCCGAAATTGGTGAAGATTTACGATCTGTTGTGTCAGTCTGTAATTTATCAACGGAAGGAGTTCTTAAACGAACTCGAGAATCCAGTCTATAATCACTTTCATTGAACTTCCCTAGTTTTTCAAGCCGATAAGGCCTTTCCGGTCTGTTGAGACGAGGATCGGCCGGTCGCTCTGATGATTCTAATTCAGAGTCCGGTGGTGGCGGGTGCGGTGGAAGAGGTGGTAACGCATTGGTGCACAACGCTACCATCGGGACGGAAGACATAAGACCCGTTGACGTCGTCGTCGGCACTAGAGATAAGTGTGTAGGATGTGATGGGAACGGGTATCGCAGAGCGCGGGACACGCACGGCGAAGGACGCGCATGAGGACTACCTCCCGGACTTGGCGCTCGGGTCGCTCCTTCCAGCCGTTCAGAGTCTTCATCGAACACGGAACGTTTAGCGAGAAGGGACCGCACGACCTCTGAAGGCTTAACTTCATTGATGTCAACCTCCAATAGCCTATGGCGTAGACGGGCGCGGTCAGGTGTGTCGGCGAGGGCGCGCGATCCGCTCCATTTCTCATATTTCTCGTCAAGACTGCGAATGCGTTCTTCGAGTGAGGGCGAGTGCGGCGCGGAGCCGGTACTGGACGAAGATACGGAGGGCGGTCGAGGCGGTGAGTCGGGCGCCGGGGCGGGCGTGGGCCGCGGCGTAGTGGGCGCGGCGCGAAGGAGCTGCGCCGCGAACTTGGGCAGCGGCAGACTCATGGGCAGGGGCGGGCGCTCGCGCGGCGGACGGCGCGGCTCCACTGGCGGCGCGTCGGGCTCGTCGCGTAGCGGCGTACCAGCGCGCGAACCGCGCGAATCGGAGCCGTCGCGCCGCCGCCTGTGCCTCCGCCGCGACGTGTGCACGGAGCCTCCGCGAGACCCCGAGCGGGAGCGGCGAGAGCCCCCGCCGGCACTTCTGTGACGTTCCTGAATTGTAAAAACAAATTGATTATTTAAAGAATTTTTTTCCCATTCAAGTTTTACATTCGACAATTAACCATATCAAACCATACCTTAGAACGTTTTCGATCTTCGGGACTGGAATCTCGTCTATGTCTGTGGGTGCGATGCGGTGATACTACAACCGATTGTAATCGATCTTCGTATGGAGTTTCATCAGTCTGTGGACTCGAACCTAACTCATCATATACCCTGTGAAGAATAATTAAAATAAACACATATATTTACAAACTATTGATTAATTACAAATGCCATCTAACTGATTTTTTTTAATGCGAAAAGTTGTCAAACGAGCAGAACGACACACCCGAGGGTTACAGATGCGTTAACAATCTATTGAAAATTGGGCTCCGGCTACCTCACGCACCAGACGAAACGGGAAAGTATTTGTCATATTTCCACTTTACGCTGGTCTTCTGTGAGGTCGTGGTACTTATTCGGACGGGCCTGCCCATTTGTGCAACATCCGAGGCTGCTGCGTGGCCCTACCACCGTATATCATGTATATCATATACAAATAAAGTTATATTTTACCTGTATCGTCGATCGGCAGCGTATTCTGCTGGGTCATAATGTTCATGTGACGGGTATCGTGGGGTACGGGAAGACCCACGACCAAAGCTCGGAGCTCGTGTCCTCGTCCCATCGTATCTAATCAAAACATTCAATGTATCGTTTTATTCAAATAAGGAATTACAATGATGAGGGATTTATGAAAAAAATTACAAACCTTAGTTGTTCATGCCTTGCAGACGGTACATAACGCGTTGTGAGATCACCAGCCAATCTTTCTGAACCGGGCATTGTTGCCGAACCTCCGTGCTTCTCTAATTGTTCGTAGAAAGCCTCCTAAAGATAACAAAAAAATAGAGTAAAATTGATTTTTTATATACAATGTTCAATTTAGGTTGTGTAATATTTATTACCAAGTGTATAAGTTCATCAAAAAAGGGTTGGTAGTATACAGGAATTTGCTAATTTTTGTATAAAAAAGTAAATTAAAGCCAAACTTAACAGCATTTTAGAAAGTAGACTTGCCACCAATGTTCGACTACATTTATTATTATATACTCATTTATTATACTTTATTGTACACCACAAAGAATTTGATACAATTAGTATAAAATAAGTCTTAAAAGCTAGGTACAATAAGGTGGTCTTATCGCTAAAAAGCGATCTCTTCCAGACAACCTTAGGACGAGGAAAAATAAACTAATGAATAGTGGGAGGTGGTGTGCTCAATGAACTTGTTTAATACCAAAATAGACTTAAATATAATAAAATAAAATAAAAAATTATAATAAACATACATAAATAGATATATAATATATATGAATAACATAAATAAATCCACGAGAGAAGAATTAAATCCGAATATTACCATTAATAACTATGGATTACAAAGCGATAGATAATGTTGTTTTACGTCATTTTTATTTTATACGGAAGGATTATTAAACAATTATTAAAGTAAGACATTTTGATCAAAATGTGGGCAAAATGGGTATACCTTGAACATATGTAGTACAGTAATTAGTGAACCACTATCAAATACATGTCCATAGATGATTAATAGTAATTAAATATTTAAAAGTGGAAGATTATGTTGCTGAAAGAATAATTTTTCTGTATTTTTAGGGTGTAGTTAATTCATACAGGATTACTCACATAAAATTATCTGAATACTAATAATAATATTCATACTTAGATAATTCCAATAATGTATGCTTACGTAATTACGATGTGTACAAACTGAACTTCACAATCATTTGAGCGAGCGCGGTGGTGCGGCGTGGGAAGGAGGTGAGTTACATTTGAACAAACGAGCGAGAACCGATTGCGTCCACCTATTCACATTTTCGGCTTAACCCCTCCGTATATTTGGACTTATACGGCCAAAGCCAATACATATTCCATGTTTTAATATGTATCGCCATTTATTGTCATAATTTCCGATAATGTCGGATATACTAGCGATGATGTTGACCTCGCACTCCCTCGAGGCGTAGTCGACGGCAAGGCGCGGCTGGTCGGGCTCGGCGGTGGAGGCGAGCGCGGCGACGCGTCGCAGCTCGCGCACGGCCGCGCCCGCCGCCGCCGCCTGCTCGAAGTGCACCAGCGCCGCGCCCGCCGCGCGGTCCACGCACACCGACGTCGCCGCGCCGCACCGCGACACCGCGCTCAGCACCTGCGCCCCCCGCACCGCACATCTTATCTCTCGTATTTGCGGCCACTATATGGATTTATCTACGTAAAACGTCCTCACGAGGCGATATAGTGTTATCCCACAGCAGGGGAAGACTACAATAGATCTTCAAGGTCGCAGTGATCGTTGATTCACTACGAAACCACTTCCGCACAAAGTACAAATACAACCGGATCGCTCGTAGTCTACTGGGCCCTGATGTGACATCCAACTGGGATTTTAATACGTAACTCGTTTTTGGCGAGAAGACTAATGGTTCACAGTTACTACAAGTTGAGGGTTTTTGTTTATGCACACCTGTTTCTCGGTGTGCTCGGTGAGGCCGTCGACCCACACGCAGGTAGTGGCTACGGGTTTCCCGAAGCCGAGCTTGACCCGAGAGCCGCCGACGTATTCCCCGTCCATGGCGCGGATGGCCTCGACGACGCTCGATATGGACTGATACTGGCAGAAAGCGTAGCCCGCGCCTCCACCGCTGCCCTTCTTTATATCAATCTCGATGATCCGTCCATAGTGTTTGAACTTATCCCTCAACTGTTGTTGCGTAACATCCTTCTCGAGGTTTCCGATGAATAAAGTTCTGGTCGCCTGGTAACAAAACGAAAACACTTTTTAGAAATTTCAATACTTTGAAACATAAAACACGCGCACTTCAAAAGCTAAGAAACAATGTAGATAAAATAAGTTGAGATTTTCTGGATCAGCTTAGAAGTTAAAGCGTCTGGGCGCGAATTCGCAAAATGTGGAAAACTTTTCACATTTCATTCACATCTCTTTTTTCTACTAATTTCAACGCACTAGTGTTCCAGATACGATAGCAAAAGAACCGACAATACGACGATGATTTTATATTCACCATTGTGCGCGTAATGAATTATCATAAATTTTGAATCAAGCTATAATAATAATAATGATTGACTGACCTTGGGATGGTATTCATCGATATCAGTCTCGTAAGGCTTGGCGGAGTCGGCGTCCTCATCGCAATTCTGGTGCGGTGCCACCGAGATCTTGCAGCCGAAAAACAGTTTGTCCTGCGACACTTCGAGCGCCTTGTCCACGTCGGACGGCTTCTTGAAACGCACCACCGCGTACCGATCGGCGTTCTGACCGACCACCTTTCAAACAAAAAGCATCTCTTTTCATATTCGGTGTTTGGTACGAACTCAATACTAGGAAACAGTATATAAATATGCTAAAAATATGAGCACTGAACTAGATATGTACATTAAAGACCCGTAATATTAACATAGGATTAGTAATATCGAAGAAAAGTGTAAGTCCAGAGTAAATAATTTCTAACCCTCTAGAACCTCAATGCATTGTTTCTCGTAATGATAAGTCATTTAAAATATGTTTGTTTTCGCAGGTTCCTTAAATTTACGTTTACTCAATTGTTTGTAGTTGTCTTTATTTAAATAATTATTTTAATGTGTTTGTACAGTTAATATTTTTCTAGTTTTTGATTTTCCAGCCCTATATTATATTCCCCTGTGCTTTTGCGCGAACCCAGCTTATAGGCAACCGTATGAAGTCATCTTTTGTTGTTTGAATATTTTACGCATATGATTGGCAAATTTTGCGACTGTTTTAAGATATTGTCAAAAGCAACTATCTACTTTTACTAGTCTTTAATAAACAACAAAACTGTAATCTCCCATCTCATTCTATAAAAAAGATAGACAAAATCAGTAGAGAAAGTTGATTATAATATCGTGTTACCTACCATACTACATTACCCAAATACAAACTACTGAAATAATGCGGGCCGTTTGTTCTTTATCCTTGGGCGGGCTACACGCCATGTTATATACCATCACTAAGTATAATTTCTCAAGCATGACAATACTGTAATCCTGTTATGATCTTACGTCGGCATCGAAACGGAGAAGCCTCAGCGGCAAGCGGCGCGTAACATTTAAAAATAAGTAATAATGACCTTCACCCAAACCACCTTGCCGTGCTTCTTGTACTCGTGGTAGAGGCCGTCCTTGAGGGAGCTGTCGGTGGAGCGGCTCGGCAGGTTGCGTACGCAGATGGCGAGCGGTCGCCCGTTCGCTGTAGACGCCCACTGTTATACAGAAGCTAAAATAAGTTAAAGTAAAACTTCGCCAGCAGTACTTCATTTTACAGCACTGTTCTTTTATTTGTTCTGTTATCACTGCACTGGTCTCATATATATATTGAAAACTACACTAATGAGCTACACTACATGAGAAGTACAACGCTGTTTTCTTATCTGTTGCACTCGAGTTTGCACTCCCACTTCCATCATCAGATGGCTAATTATTGTCCTGTAGACTCCGCCCTCGAATGGCTTTTGCTTTATCCTAATAAAATATTTGCCGCCGTTAGTTTTCTCGACTGATTTAATATTTACTAAAATAATGCATTCTAACATCACTGATTACCATCAGACGGATTATAGTCATATAGACATATTAAATGATATTGGACATTAATGATCATAAATAAACGTATTTAACCATTAATGTTAATAATGTGTTTGTTAAGAAAAGAGGAACAAACAAAAGACTATTTAATTAGGCAAAATAATAAAGATACTTGAAGTCGCTGCCGTTTGCTAACGGGTAACAAATAGGGGCCTTTTCCCCTCAGTGTTCACAAACGCAGACACTCATGCATTCTATCATAAAAATTTAATAAATTGGCCCGTCTCTTTAGCTCGGGATCTCTTTTTTAAATAATTAAACAACTGTTTCCTGTTGCTCGCTGGCCACGGTGACGTTTCAATATTAAAAACCCAGGAAATAAAGAGACGCTCGAGCGCTGCACGTAAAGGCATTGTTTTAGATTTGAACAATCGACAGGACGCCAGGACGTTTTTGCGTTACACCCCGTGCAACCTCCAGCACATGCCAAACAGGTTTTTTAATTAAGAAACGGGATAGTCCCTGGTTATTTTAGTCCCCGATGGTGAGCCTTTACGATGTAGATATCGCATTAACTCGGTTAGAGCATTAACACTAGTCGCACGCAAGGTAAGTTCCCCCGGCGATAAGTTAATTGCCTGATACTTTATTACCTTTTGAAATAAGCGCAACGAATATGTATGTACCTATAAGGCTGATAGCAACGAATCGTCGACTAGCAGAGGAAACGGGTTAAGCGATGATAAGCACACATGCTTGTCATCAATCCGTGGCGAGAGTAAAAGCGCCCGCGTGATCTCACCTGGTGGTGGTGCGCGGGCGGAGTGCGCCGCGCCGCGTGGCGGTCGGGCGGCGGCGCGGCCGGCGTGGAGGCGCGCGACGTGTCGCTCGGCTCCGGCGAGCTGGTGTCGGAGCGCGACGAGCCCGAGCCGGAGCGGCGCCGCCGCCGGCCGCCCTCCGTGCCGCCGCCGGGCGTGCTCGGCGTGCTCTCGCCGCCCCCTCCGGCCCCGCCGCCCGCGACGCCCGCGCCCGCCGCGGCACCCGCGCCCGCGCCCGCACCCGCCGCGCCCGGCCCCCCGGGTCGATCCGCGCTCGCGTACCAGCGATGGTGTGGCGTTGTTCTAGTCAGTGAAATTAACGGTTATTTACTACTCATATGCCTGGGGGAGAAGGAAACCATATTACATATCTATACACTATTGCATTTAATAATAAAAATGTTTCGAAGATTTGTGAAGTCTGGCAATATGCACTAGGGTTGTTGACTGTGTGAATACTTTTAGTACACTGTATTCAGTGGACAATTTTACAAGGAAACATATACAGCGTGTCGTTGCAACCGCGACAATAAATGAACACACGTCTAACGCTACTTGCCAATAATGATAAAAAATATTAACGTTAAAATAAACATAATTAAAAAAAAATTTTTTTTAAACAAACTAATTATGTAAAAAAGAAATCCTATACAACTAACAACTACAACTGAGTGATTCATACATTCAGGGACTTTTTCATTCGTTGCCACAGCGTCGCTTTACAAGCCTCTCCTTCTAACAGTATGTTTTATCTCTTTTAAATTCATTCAACCCATTCAATATGCTTTGTGACCTTTACAAATGAACTTTACGTTACAGTTTTATATGTAAGGGTGTTCTAAAATAAATATAAAAATTTGTTTATGCACGATCACGATTAGAATTTTAAGTCCCAGTATTCACCCGGTCCGCAGCCCTAAATTACTCTGTGAGAACAGAGTTGAGAAGTTTGCTTCATTGAAATTGTGTGTCATGGACTCCTGGACTCCTCAAGAAACCTGGCGTAGTGTATTGTTTTTATCGATGAATCTAGGACGTCTTTGTACGGTGAAGGCGATGATGTCAGGCATGCTTCGACGACGAGGAAGATTGTTTGCAAGCGTACATATTATGTTTTAAAGGAATCATACATACCTTATGGTAGGCTATATGTATTACGTTTTTTACCGACTTCAAAAAAGAAGGAGGTTTCTCAATTCGACCGTATACATTTTTATTTTTTTTATGTGTGTTCGTGTATAACTTCGTCTTTTATGAACCGATTTTGATGATTCTTTTTTTGTCTGAAAGTAGATCCAAAGGGTGGTACCATGATAAGAAAACCCGGATCTGATGATGGCATCCCAGAGAAATCGAGTGCCATCATTGAATGTTATAGGTATTAACAATGTTTTTAATTTTCTGATTGAAGTCGGTTTTTTTTTTGTTAAAAAGTATACTTGTTTTTAAAAAACATTGCCCATACTTTAGGATAACATTATCCTGTGTTGTAAGGAAGTTTTACAAGCATAAATTTCACGTGGACAAACACCCAGATGGGTTATAACTATCTGTAGATCACAAAAATAGTTTTCCCGTGCGAGGATCGAACCCACGACCCCAGACGCCGATGCCAATACCTTGGCAACTGCGCCACGGAGTCATCCAAAGCAGGAATCATCAAAAGAATTATTTGTCGTACGAATATAGTCTTTATCGAAAACGACGTACACGACAAGCTGCGAGTGAGAATCCGCTATAAAACAATATTTTATGGAGTGATATTATTTTATTACCAAACACTCATATGAATACCACCGTTTGGAAATGTAATTTAGAATCCATGAATCATAAAAATGACACACTAAGTTGCTACTAAATAAGGCTAAGTAAACCACAATAACATTTATACCCAAAAACCAATGACCATGATCGTTCAATATTGACTATGCAACACAGTTTTCTCACCTACGTGATAACACTGCTAAGCCAAGATTCTGTGTAAAATTTTATTTTGTACGACATCACTCAACCTTTAATAATTGTGTAAAGCCTGGGCTTTACACAATATATGAAGGTTGAATGATGATTATGAATTATAATTATATAATCCAATAAAGAGGATTCCGATACAGCAATCATAATATAAATGCTGTAACTACGCAGATCAATACGAAACAACGCTTGTCTATAAAATTTATAAAATTTATACGAAATAATATTTATCTATTAAATCTAGCTATGATTCAATAGCAATACGACATTCGGTAGCAATAATTGCCCGTTTAATTTATATGATAAGAATTTATTACAATATCAAAGACACTTCAGAACCTCAACTTTTAAGCGTTACTGACCTCCGTTTTAAGCTCAAAAAGTGTTTCCAAACAATTTCAACATGTTTACGAATTGTTTATATACCGTCCCAGAATCTAGTTTTTACTTTAAGTATATACGGTTGATATTCGTACCCTTTTTAATTACAATAATAAACTCAAAATAAATTCGCGAAAAGTAAGAAAGTTTAACACAAACACATTTTTTTAAGACAAAACACATTCTGGTATATACTTCAGGAAATGCATACTATGGCGCTAAGCCTTAAAGAAATCGTGACAAAAGAAAATTAAAGGTTAGTTTCGTAACAAGACTTATCTATACAGGGAATTCGAATAGGAGTTATATACCTACGTCCCTCGATCAAGTTTGCATCGTTGCAAAGTTTATTATAGTGAATTCAGATCGGTGTACGAAACCTGCTACTTCTAAATAATTTAATAAAGTAATTTATTTAATAACGTTAGAAATAAGTAAATGTGATGAAATGTGTCCTTTACTGGCATCATCATCGTATTCCTCTGATTAAATTGTACGAAATAATAATTATTTTGCTTTTCGCTTTCATATTTAAACCTATGACGATTATGATGTTACCCCTTTCTTCTCATCTTAATCATTTTATTAGGCAACAGAATAGTATCCTATGTGATGTTCAAAAATTCCTAAAATAAACGTTCCTAAGTTTCTACAACTAACCTTTCCACCAGCAAAAACAACTTACAGAGCCTCACCACGAGTGAATCGAGTTATTTTTAATTATTAGGCCAACAATACACAAGGATGTCTGAGTTTTGCACAAATTTATAGCAAATAATATTGTTAAGTACAATTGATATTGGTTAAGTATTATTTTTCGGTATCTTAAAAGATTGCTCTAAAGAACGACTAGCAATAAAACACTTGGTACAATAAATTTTGTTGTTTAACTCTTTCTGTGGATATTTATGTTTTTGGCGAAACGAACACAGATAGTATGAAATACAAACAGGTAATGTTGTACTATCTAATAAATCTGCTCTCATTGTTTTCATTGTTTTATTCTTTCTTGATTGCATTGTTTTATTCTTTCTTGATTGGTCCACAGAGTTTGTAAGCACGTAAATACCGAAATGATATGAATGTAAAGGGTTGAAACGATAAATACGTAAACATAGTTTCATTTAGTAATGTGTAATCGGGTAAATACAAGAAATTATTAGATTATTAGAGATTTAAACGCAATAATAATAAATTATTTTTCATTTACAGATTTTTTTAAACTAAAAAACTCAGTTTTCTTCGGTGCTCCATATTTAAGTATAATAGATTATTAACGGTTGCACGTTAAGTTTCTAAAAGTGAGCTCTCAAATTTCATAATAGATATTCTTGAGAAAATTTACAAGTACAAAGAAACATCGCTTGGGAGAGATAGTGACGTGAACGTGTATTAATCTACGCGGCAATTCTAACGATTTGCCTTTGGCAAAAATAACAAAGTATACCTTTCGACGTTGGACGGCGGCGTGGCGTATGGCGCCCCGGTAGAATTGTTGCGTTGATATCGACCATAGGTGGCGGGCGTGTTCCCGCGCCGGCAGTACTCGGAAGCGCTGTCGTTGGTACCGCGCCAAGTTGCAGGCGCCGCCGCTGACGCAGCCATCGCGCACGCATTGCCCGCACTCTCTTCCCCCCTAGAATAACAAAAGAGGTAAGATTTTAATCAATTGGTGAGAAGGAGTGCATCCGATCCAAAGTTTACTAATAAAACTTTACAATTTCCACCAGCAATAGTTTCAACGTATATTGATCACACTTAACAACACTGACCATTATTGTTGCACTATAAAATTCAAACATTTTATAACAAAAAATCGACACAATTAAAGTTTTTTTATTCATTTGATGTTAAGTGAACCGAAAGAGGTTGCCATCGCTTTATCATTTGGGGGCACCTAATCACAGGAAATTCATGAATATGTCACCTATATCTTTTTTTGTCCTTAGTGCTCCCTCGGACGAACTCACCTATTCCTGCAAAAGATTCTACGTACCAGGGAATTTAAATCATAATGGAATCTATTATGATACTGTACTGACTACAGTACAGTAAAGACATACAGAAAAAATAAAATGGGAGAAATATTCATGAGTAAAACTTTTTTTTATTATTTGACTAATACCTCCTCATCCAGCTTTCCAGATCTTACGCAAAGCATGGTTAGATTGCAGGGGTCAACTCTTTTGCTAACTTTTAATAAGTTATCAGAAGCTCCCCCCCATTGCACTTTGAATTAACAGAAATCCCAAAAATACCATTGATTTAATTCGTCTACACTAGTATAATAAAGACGTAAAATTTGTTTGTTTCTACGCAATCTCTGAAACTCTTCTCCACTCCTCCATAAAATCAGTATTGCTATAATCAAACCCAATAATTGTCAGAACAATTGTCAAAGTCCGATATACATGACTTACTAGACAGACTTCATCACATAAATATCAATACGGTACTTATTAAAATAAAGTTATATTAATAATTTAAAAAGTAATTTATATACAAAAGAGTAGTACAAATGTGAATAAGTAGTTTGACTACTTATTCAAGGTGACACAGTTGATAAATCATTTTCTCAACGTAAATTTTGTTACCGCTATAATCAAAACAATTTTGTTAAATCTTTTTTTTGTTATGTATTTGTTTCGGGGTTTTTAGAAGGGCTGAAATTATATAGATCCGCCATTGATAATTTCTCAAAGCATATATTGCAACAATTTTATAACGAATCAACAAACAAGGGTTGAAAATATCAGCAGCACACAAAAATGAATGATAAAGTCAAGTTAGTTAGGCCTTTAAAACGATTTTTAATGGTTTTTTTTTTAATTCGTCCAATGGTGCTATAATGGAAAAACAACTAGTAAAGTTTAATAACTTTACTAATATAATTATTATGATCAATATTACAAAAAGTGGAAATTAACAAAGGAGTCGACAATTACTATAAATAGTTACAGTGTATAATATTTAATATAATATAACTATAAATAGTTATATTATATTAAATATTATACATATATTATAACTAAAATTTTCAATTTTAAAAGCAGGAACATTTAATTTATTTCATATTTATGTCTGTTCTATATTTTGAGAAACATATTATAGTTTCCCTGTGCGAAAACGTGGGTTTATATAATCCCATTTTATATATGATTATCTCAAAATAAGTTTAAGAAATCTTAGTTGAAAATTGTAATCCTAATACCACTTGGGAAATGATTACCATATATAATCGGACGGCCTGGAAACATAATAAAAAATTATAAAAACAAAGAAACTAACTTAAGCTACATGTAGGGCTTATTCTTTTAAAGAGTTGAATAAGCTGTACTAATTCCAAAAATATATTAATACATTGTATAACACCCCCCTTCCCCCCCCCCCCCCAAATGTCGTCAGTAGTAAGTTAACCCATATCTTCAATATTCCATACTTTAAAATTGTATTTGACATAACATACATACGAGAAGGGATCAAAAATAGTGAGAACGACATACTCCTTGGTAAGCAAAAAAAAAAAAATACTGGCAGGCATAGCTCAGATACATATTTGTAATATTAATAAAGAAAAAAATCTTCGACTCTCTTTTGCTTTTCTTTCTGAATGTAGTCATTTGTTTGCTTCGTGTCGGAACGTATTTTCGAAAATGGAGAAAAACGAAGGGCGACCCGTTATTAAATACCTCTGTTTAAAAAGTTAACGACGCAAGTGATTCATTGCGATTTGGAGGCTACATTAGGAGAGCCTGCTCCGCCGTATTCCACTGTCGTAAGGAGGGCTTCTGAATTTGTCCATCCATCGTCGTCGTTCACTCAAGAATATGATGCGAAATTCAAGAAACGGGCATTTCATATGGAAGTATTCAACCCATATTGAAACAATCTGTCTCCGCAAGTTGGGTGCCGAGAATGTTAACCGACAGTCAGAAACAAAATCGACTAGACATTTCGAATATACAGGGTGGCTTTTCTAAATGTGCCCAAATTCACACAGGAGGTTCAGACTCGGTAGTATAATCGTTTATTGAAATAAAAACATATAATCGTTTATTGAAATAAAAACAAACTTCTTTTTTCCAAATAAAAATTGCAATTCTATTCCCAAAAAAACAGAACAGAATGGCATCGGCTGGCAAGGTTATGGCCTCAATATTTTGGAACTCGGTAGGGATATTGTTGATTGATTACCTAAAGCGTGGAATCACTATTATCAGACCAACATTATGCAGCTTTAATTCCCAAGTTGAGGAATACCCTCAAAGAGAAAAGGAGAGGGAAACTTCGAAGAGGCGTGCTGTTTCATCACTACAACGCACTCGCGCACAGGTCAGCCGGCAGTTGCGATGGCTGCCATTCAGCGAGCTGACTTCTAATTGGTTGACCACCCCCTTATTCACCAGATCTGGCGTCTAGCGATTTTTATCTGTTCCCCAAATTGAAAGAATACGTAAGGGCAAACAGGTACGAAGACGATAACGAGATGATGGATGCCGTGGAGAGCTTTTTGCAGGACTCAGAGACAAAACTTTTTTTTGAAAGGCTTCAAGCCTTGGAAAAGCGCTGGACCGGGTGTGTAGAGAAACTCGGAGACTATGTAGAAAAATAAATTATTAAGTTATCTATAGTCATTATATTCTATCTCATTCTCAATACTCCTCGAATTACGTAAAATTTTCTCACAGTTAAGTGAATAATGTAATATTCTTTTGAGAAAATAAGCATTTCTTTGAATCGAAAAGATTGATTCACGGGAAGTTAATATTTGCTGTTAACAGAATATGTTAGATACATAGATCACACTAAATTTTGGAAGGTGAAAAACGTAGAACTTATGAGTCATCCGTTATACAGTCCCGTCGTGGCACCTTGTGACCTTTCTGTGGTTCTCTGTCAACGACTATTTCTTATTCATTACGGAAACTTTTAGTGCACCAACATTGTAAAATTATTTTCATTTAACTTATTCCATAAAGTTCGTCAAAACTGGATCAAGTAAGCAATCAACAAAAATAATAAGGTTGGAAGCAAATAATTGAATTATTATACAATATTGTGCGATAACATTATAATAAAATCTTTATACGATCAAGGAAAATTATAATCAGATAGCCCCGATAAGACTTCATTAAAAGTTTCATTCTTAACGAATTAAGCTAGAAAATATTTCAAATTGCTTAATGTTTTGTGGTAGCAAAATTATAACAGATACACTCCACGTATAAGCAATGCGTTATTGCTTATACAAAATAATGACAATGTAGCGTCAATTAAATTGTCATTATCCCGAGGACCGAGGTTTATTTTTTTTTTTGGTAAATCCTGTGTTTTGGAAATTACGTTTAGATACAAATTACTGAGTAATGAAATATGCATATTATTTTTCGATCTTGCCGACGTAATAATAAGAAAATATAAACTGATGTTTTTCACAAAAGAAAGAACTTTAAAAAAAAAGGGAGAAAAATAACAAATCGACTAAAAATTCAAAATAAAGAAAGCAATGATCTGGTATCGTAAAAAAAGTAAAAAAAAAAAATGTGTAAATGATCGTGACACGAACCACGGGCCTTCTGTTTCGGGGCCGCCCGATTACCGACCGAGCTATTATAACATTTTTTTTGCGGCGAAATTTACCGTCAGATTCGAATGATATTTATCATTCCCTGAAAACAGGGATAAAAGGACATTTTCTAAAAATGAAACCTAGCTAGATCGATTTTTCGCCCCCGAATTTACGCACATACTAAATTTCATGAAAATCGCTGGAGCCGTTTCCGAGATTCCGATTATATATATAATCGAATGGAATACCATCAAAGAACAATAAAATTATTATTCCTGCCTTATTAGATTTATTAGTCAAAACTTTTTAGTTCGAAATTATTATATGCTAATATCTTTTATTTTACTCAGGTAATCGAAGATATGTGAAATCCGCAAAATCTGCAGTTGTGTCGCGTTGTGGACTTTACCTTGTACTCTACAGAGAAGGCCTTTGCCTAGCAGTGAGACATATAACCGGCCAAGCGCGATTCGGGCTCGCGCACGAAAGGTTCCGTTCATAATTTATAAAAACGGCAAAAAAAAACTTGTCTATTGTATGGGAGCCCCACTTAAATATTTTTTTATTCTGTTTTTTAGTATTTGTTGTTAAAGATGCTGTAAATTTAAGTATTAAATTGATTCAGATAAACTTTATTGGAAACAATCGAACGTATCGTATACGATCCTAATTTACATATAAAAAGGGTCCAAATAGACGTATTTTGCCTGGTATTAAAATTTTTTTAGACAGCTTTTTATGATATTGAAAAGAGATATTTAGTCCTAACCGTTACGTGGGGTAGCCTAACGAAATTATACTGATTTAAGACCACAATCAATCGGTGTCTTCAATATTTATAACTATTTCTAGTGCTTATATAAAATGATATTTAATAAAGATGACGTATTACCATACTTCGCGGCATTTAAAAATTGTTCCGCTTCTTAAATATTATTTTATATAAATGAATTATATAAAAATGCCTTCAGTGGCGCAGTTATTGGCAATGGCGCCGAGGGTCGTGATTCCCACTCGGGACAAGGTGTTAACAACA